GCAGGAATGGAAACATCCCTGTGCTGTCAACACGGTCTCCTGCACAAACCCAAACCATAGCCCCATACCAGCTACTATGGAGAAAATTAACTCTACTCCACCCAAAACCAGCACAATGATGTAAGCGCAGAGCAGTGGTCTGGGATTGTTCCTTCTAGACTCTCACTTCCATGCGGGGAGAAGCAGCGCTCTGTTTCCATGCCCAGCCTTCCCACTTTCTCCGATCTGCACAGGAGAAAGAGGCTAAAAAGCAAGATAGAAGTCTTCCTTCTTGCAAGATGCATAAATATTACACAGATGGCATAACTTAAGTTTGCGTTAGAAGCAGCAATTCAGAGTCCTGTAACAGTGGGTGATCTCCTGGTGAGAAAAACTCAGTGATTTCCTCTTTCCTGAACTCTTACGGAAAACTCCCTAAGGGGTTTTCCAGAGGAGAAGATCCAGGTTGTGCGTAACAGACGGTGAAGCAGTCTCTTCAACTAGTCACTTAGCTTGGCTTTTTTCACCCTGGTTGTGGTATTTTTTTCCATGCCTACTTGATTAATCTCATTTCCCTTGGCCCTGAACCTTTCCACTCACCTTCCAGCTGAGCAAACAAAGGGGCGCACAGCCATTTTAAAACGCTTCCTCCTGCAGTCCCCCCGGGGGTAGGCCCTCCGTTCATCCTGTTCATAAAACAACCGTTTTAACAGTCTCTGAGAAATGTGCCTCTCTGCTCTTAGTTGGATCAAGAAACTCCGCTGGGATCAACTTAAAAAGGCTGCCACCTGCAAACTACCCCTCAGCTAACGACCCTATTACTACTCGGTGGAGTGGACTTACTAAAGCTCCTGGCACTTGTATCTCTTACGAAAAAGCTCGCGGTAAGCAGGCTGGCGTTCCGTTACAGTCTGAATTTCTGTATTCAGTCTCTGTGTCACACATAATAAGCGTGTTAAAAAATAAACGCCATGTAAAGAAAACGTTAACAGATCTCTGAAAATGAAACCCCAATTCCTAAACAGGAATTGATACTCTGCTAAAAGCTACTCAAACACGTGGAAACGGCACGGCTTTCGTCAATGGCAATGCTAAATAATGCAAGAAATGTTTAAGCTATTGCCTCTTTTTGAGCACGCTGAGAGCGCCGAGGCCAGCGGCAGCAGCCTGCCTCTCCCCCCCACAACTTCCCACATCGGACCGACGTATGTTTCTCGACTGCTACGTCAGTCTCTGCAGTCAGGACGTCGCGACCCCAACAGC